AGGAACAGTCTAATATTCGGGTCCACACATGTTATAAACAACAAAAAGAAAAGAGTAAAGAAAAAGTAAAAAGACTGCAGATCAGTCCTGATCCTGCAGAGTTCCGATCCAACACACCTGGCTCTGAAGACCTTGATTACCTGGATCAGGTGTGTGAGATTAGGGTGGAGCTAAAGGCCCTCCAGGTGCAGGACTGGGCTGCTGAGTGAGGGTCCTTCAAATTTCAATATATGATGACTGGCAGGAAATTTATGGAGAGGAATTTGTTCCAAGTTGAAAATCAGTCACTACAGTGGAACCATTTGAAATGCAATGCACACGATGTCACTGTTCTATAGTGAGATGCAGAATATGAGCCATGATGGAAAACAAACCCTCGATTAGTGTTTTCACTTTGCTTTACCTCTTTACTGAAAAACAACACAACAATCCACAGTGAAATATAATAAAGGCACAACTACACTGCAGCACTCTGAACAGTGTTGAAGCAGTAGCAAGTTTTCCATCCACCAGTTTTTGACTAATTTTGAAAATGCACAAAAAACTGAATGGATATCGCAAAAACAGTTTTACGCAAGGATGAAGTGGAAAAGTTAGATTATCACTAACTGAAATGTGAGAAAGTGTGATGGAAAAGGGTTTTTCGACTAAACGATGACTCACTAGGTGGCCGCTGCTTGTCCTGAGTCTCAGAGCTGCAAACACGGCCATAAAAAGACAGATGGAAGTCAAATCTCTCCATCTCACTCATTTCGATGCCCCAATCACGATAGCTTACGCCATCTAGAGTTTCTTCTGACAACTGCAGTGGATGGAAACACGACTTAATAAGCATTTTTTCTGCCGAAATTTCCTAAATGTGCATGAAATTTGCGAAACGTTTGAATATAAACCCGGTCAGCGTAATGGATCTCTAACTTTTCATTCTGGCACATTTTCCGCATGTTATCGTCTAAATGCAACCTCATGTGTTCACTACATTTCACAGTTTTTGAAGGCAAATGCATCTGAAAAACAACAACGAAGTGAAAACGGTGTGATGGAGGTTTTGCATGTGTGCATTGCATTTCACTGTTTTCACTGTTATGACAGCATTTCAGAAGAAAATCTGTTTAAAGCTCCACACAGAGGACAGCATTTTATTCTTAAAATGCAAATCCTCATCCACTAGATATTTTAAAGAGGTGAAGCAACGTTAAATCAGGAAAAGCTGCTTTATGAGAATCTCAGCTATTTAGCTTCATATGCCAAACCTGCAGTAGAATCCTGGGTGAGATCTTAGACTCTGAGCTCTGTTTAATCTGCATGTAAACAGTCACTAAAGCAGCTTTTTATCATGTGAGAAAATCACTAAAGTTCAGCCTTTTCTCTCTCAGAGCGACACAGAGAGACTGTAATGATCTTCTTACTAGGGAAAACAGTCCATCCTCTAGAACCCGTACAGAACTCAGCAGCACGGATCCTCACAGCACCAACACAGAGAGCTCGCATCCCCCCGTTACACACTGCACTGACCGCCTGGATCTGTTAGAGAGAGTTTAAAGCTCTGCTGCTGGTTTTTAAAGCTCTAAATGACCTTAAAGCTCCTGAACGTCTGTTTATGATCTCAGATCTGCAGATTCTGACCTTCTGAACTCCTTCAGTAAAACACAGAAAACGTGGAGAGACTCTTTCAGCTATTCTGCTTCTAAACTGTGGAGCTCAGTTCAGCTTTTATTAGACAGTCGAGCTCAGAGCTCACTTTTAATAAACACCTGAAAACGCAGCTCTTTAACTCAGAGCTTCAGTAAAACTCTACGACTCTTTAACTCAGAGCTTCATTAAACTCTACGACTCTTTAACGCAGAGCTTCATTAAACTCTACGACTCTTTAACTCAGAGCTTCATTAAACTCTACGACTCTTTAACTCGGAGCTTCATTAAACTCTACGACTCTTTAACGCAGAGCTTCATTAAACTCTACGACTCTTTAACTCAGAGCTTCATTAAACTCTACGACTCTTTAACTCAGAGCTTCATTAAACTCTACGGCTCTTTAACTCAGAGCTTCATTAAACTCTACGACTCTTTAACTCAGAGCTTCATTAAACTCTACGGCTCTTTAACTCAGAGCTTCATTAAACTCTACGGCTCTTTAACTCAGAGCTTCATTAAACTCTACGACTCTTTAACTCGGAGCTTCAGTAAAACTCTACGACTCTTTAACTCGGAGCTTCAGTAAAACTCTACGGCTCTTTAACTCAGAGCTTCAGTAAAACTCTACGACTCTTTAACTCAGAGCTTCATTAAACTCTACGGCTCTTTAACTCAGAGCTTCAGTAAAACTCTACGACTCTTTAACTCGGAGCTTCAGTAAAACTCTACGGCTCTTTAACTCAGAGCTTCAGTAAAACTCTACGACTCTTTAACTCGGAGCTTCAGTAAAACTCTACGACTCTTTAACTCAGAGCTTCAGTAAAACTCTACGACTCTTTAACTCAGAGCTTCATTAAACTCTACGACTCTTTAACTCGGAGCTTCAGTAAAACTCTACGACTCTTTAACTCAGAGCTTCATTAAACTCTACGACTCTTTAACTCGGAGCTTCAGTAAAACTCTACGACTCTTTGGGTTTATCTGTTTAATCTGATGTGTTATTGTTTTATATGATTTTAATTTAATACTCAGTTTCTTCTGTTACTGTTCAGCTTTATCACCGTCTGTAAAGCACTCTGAGCTGAAACCAGCATGAAAAGAGCTCTATAAATAAAGATTATTGTTATTATAAATCAGTGTAAATGAGGTTTTGTTTTCCATTTTGGTTTGTATTCTCTACGTCACTACGGGACAGTAATGTTAAGTGTGTATTACATTTCAGGTTTTTCCACTGTAGTGACTGATTTTCAGCAGCCACAAATTCCTCTCCATAAAAATTCCTTTCCAGAACAGTGAGAGACGATGACAATGATGATGATGACGAAGATGAAGTGGGCTCCTTCCCAGTTAGTAAGAAGACAGTGGGTCACTGTTGGCTTTTTTCAATACCCATTTTCCACTCCCAGCCCAGTTTACTTATTTTTCCTTCATTCTTTCTTTCATTCATTATCCTTTTTGAATTAGTTTAGTAAATCATTTTAACAGCAATATCACAAAAAATATGGAGAAGAATTCGTGTGAAGCAGTCTATAAAAAGCACTACAGTGGAGAAGTGTGAAATGCGCTGTTCCATGGTGTCATGAGGAACACGAGCCAAAACGAAAAACAAAACCTCCATCATGCTGTTTTCACGTCACTGGAAGCCTTCACTGAAAAATGACGCAGGCAGATCCGCATTTAAACCAAGAGAAGCTGCATTGGTGTCAGAATTGAATACAACCCACCTTGAAATGCAATAAAGGCACAGCAGACCGAGGATGAAGGAGCTTGAAAAGATCTTTAAATGCAAAGGTCTGTCTGGCTGGCTGTGGTTCTGTGGGGTTCTCTATAGATGTGAGAGTTGGACAGTAAACAAGCAACATAGGAAAAAATATAGACGATATAAATATAGACATGGACTGAACTTTGGTGTTGGTGAAGACTTAAGAGAACCTTTGATGACATAGAAAACAAACAAATGAATTCTTGACCAAATCAAGCCCAGAGAACCAAACTGAAGCTCTTATTTTGGACTCATTCTGAGAAGAACCAGCTCATTAGTAAAGACGATTATACTTAAAGGGTCGAAGGTAAAGAGGACGAGCAGCTACAAGATGGATGGAGACAATCAGAGCAATCATGAATCAGTCATTCAGAGGCCTAAAGACCGAAACAGAAGACAGAAAATTCTGGAGGAACACTGTCCCAACGGTCACCAGGAGTCAGGAACGACTTGACGGCACTTAATAAATAATAATAATAATAGTAATAATAATAATAATAACAATAATAATAATATTGTTATCCACTGTGCAGTACGTCAAGCAAGGTTAGATTAACGTATCTTTGACTTTTCGTTTTCTGCATGTCACTGTTTAATCGTAATCTCACTGCATTTCACTGTTTTGGTTGCATTTCAATCAAACAAGTCAAACATGTTTAAAATTCAAAAAAAGTCAAGTGATGTGAAAACAGTGCAGTGGAGGTTTCGCTTTTCATTTTGGCTCATATTCTGCAGGTCAATGTGGAACAATGATGTCACGTTCACTGCATCTGTGTTTTTCCACTGTAGTGACTGATTTCATTTTGGCACAAACTCTGCTCCATAAAGTAAACCTGGTTATCGAGCTGTAACCGATCTGGGAGCGTCGGCAAAAACCTTTACCACTGAACAATTCTATATCAGACCTAGATCAGTTTTGTCTTTAAGTCTTTTGTAATATTAGTCTTAGTTTATTTTACAAAATAGAAGTCTGTGTGTGTTAAAATCTGTTTGCAGAGATTAAAAACTACACACTTTAAAAAGATAATTCTTTAAGGGTTCTTTAGGAAAGCAAGCAGTTCTATAGAGAACCACAAACACTCAAAGAACCCTTTGCATGATTACACGGTTCTGCTTTGTGAAAGCGTTCTTAAGATATGTGCACTGTACATGATTCTATATCGCCAGAGGTTCTTCTATTAGTATATACTTAACATCATAACAATTAAAGAATTGATGGAGAATGCACTGTACATGGTTCTATATGGCACCAAAAAAGGGTTCTTCTATTACTACAAGCTTGACATCATAAAAATAGAAGAACCCTTTTTGATGCTTTATAGAACCCTTTTCAAAAAGGTTCTATACAGAACCATCTACAGCATGTTCCCCATCAGTCTGAAGAACGCTTTCACAATGCAAAGAATCCTTTAATCCTGGAAAGGGTTCCCTGGGTGTAAATGGATCTGTACAGAACCATTTTCTTTACTAAAGAACCCTTGACAAACCATCATTTTTGAGAGTGTGGTTAGACCTTGTGTGTAACCTGAGTGGTCCGAGGGGGACCAGCAGTGGGATCCGGTCAGTGGGTGATATGTTCTAGCTATCTGGGACTCATACTCACTTTCGTTCTTCCATTTATCCTGTAGTTCCCCAGTTTGTCGTTGCAGTGTCGGATCAGGTCGTCCATGCGGCTCATCAGGAATCGGATCTTCTCACATCCGGGCTCCTGACCCTCGATCCAGGCTATTTTGTCCCCCCGTATGTCCTTAGAGGAGTCACTTTTTTGGCTGACCAGCTGTCCATCGGTGAACTTGCCGCTCTGATGGAGCGCCTTGACGTCGGCGAGGATGCTCAGTCCGGTCTCCTCGCCCAGGAAGTTGTCCACCACGCAGATGCCGTGCTTGTTCATGCAGGGAGCGATGTACTCCAGCGCCAGCTTCTGAGGGGAGGACCTCGCGCCGCTGCTCGGCCTCAGGGTGCTGCTGCTGTTGTTGTTGTTGATGCCGTCGTCTGACAGCTTTCCCTCCGAGACCTCCGAGCCTTCAGCACTGCTGATGACATCTTTCACCTGGAGGCAGACAATACGGCAAGAGCATCACGATACGATAAACGATATTCATCACGATATGATACACGATATTCATCACGATACGATACACGATATTCATCACGATACGATACGATACACAATATTCATCATGATACGATACGATACACGATATTCATCACGATACGATACACGATATTCATCACGATACATGATATTCATCACAATACGATATATGATATTCATCAAGATACGATACACAATACTCTTTACAATATGATACACGATATTCATCACGATACGACACATGATATTCATCACGACACGATACACGATATTCATCACGATACGATACACGATATTCATCACGATACGATACGATACACGATATTCATCACGATACGATACACGATATTCATCACGATACATGATATTCATCACAATACGATATATGATATTCATCACGATACGATGCACGATATTCATCACGATACGATACATGATATTCATCACGATACGATACGATACACGATATTCATCACGATACATGATATTCATCACAATACGATACGATACACGATATTCATCACGATACGATACGATACACGATATTCATCATGATACGATACACGATATTCATCACGATACATGATATTCATCACAATACGATACACGATATTCATCACGATACGATACGATACACGATATTCATCACGATACGATACATGATATTCATCACGATACATGATATTCATCACGATACATGATATTCATCACAATACGATACGATACACGATATTCATCACGATACGATACACGATATTCATCACGATATTCATCACGATACGATACGATACACGATATTCATCACGATACGATACGATACACGATATTCATCACGATACGATACATGATATTCATCACGATACATGATATTCATCACGATACGTGATATTCATCACAATACGATACGATACACGATATTCATCACGATAAGATACACGATATTCATCACGATACGATACACGATATTCATCACGATACGATACACGATATTCAGTTTCTCTGAGATTTAGTAAGTTTGACCAGACAACATAGAGTCTATGAACCATACAGTAAGTCAGTATTCTTCAAATACACTCTTAAAAAAGAACGTTCTTCAAGGGTTCTTTCTTAAACAGAACAGCACTATTTAAAACCATGAACATTCAAAGAACCATCTGCATGCTTACACTGTTCTTTGCACGGTGAAATGGCTCTTCAGCTGGTAGATTGTTCTACGTGGAACCTTTCTGAGAACAATTTTGTATAGCATCAAAAAGGGTTCTGATACCGTACACAAGCTTGACATCATAACAGCAGCAGAGCCCTTTTTGATGCTACACAGAACCATATACAACATATTTTCCATCAGTCTGAAGAACGTGCAGAGAACCTTTTAAGCATGCAATGCTCCTACGAGTATAGAACTTTACTAGTCTTTACTGAAGAACGCTTGAAGAGCCATCTTTTTTAAGTGTCTATAGCACCAAAAACTCAGGGTTTTAAATAGAACCATCTTTTTCAATAGCATATAAAGCACCAAAAAGGGTTCTCTCTATTGATTCAAACTTGAGGCAATATTTCTTTTTACAACCACAAGTTCTACATATATGTGATGTATACAGTTCAATATAAAACCTTTATGAAAAAGGTTCTATATAGCACCAAAAGCAGTTCTTCTGTTGTGACAAGCTGGACATCGTAACAATAGAAGAACCTTTTTGGTGCAGTACAGAACCATATACAACACATTCTCCAATTCTCAATCTGAAGAACCATTTCACCATGCACAGAACTGTTTAAGCATGCAAACAGTTATCTGAGTGTTCATAGCTCTAAATACAATTGTTCCCTTTTACTAAAGAACCACCTTTTTAAGAGTGTACTGTCCATGTCCACGATACGCTCAGAAAATATACCGTGAGTTGAAGTATCGCGATAATGATAATGATATGATGATATTGCCCAGCCCTACTTTCCCCGCGTCCTTAGAGCCCTGCGTGGAGCCCTGCGTGGAGCCCTGCGTGGAGCCCTGCGTGGAGCCCTGCGTGGAGCCCTGCGTGGAGCCCTGCGGCTCCTCTCTGCTGCCCGGAGGAGCTTTCTGTGCTCTCTGCTTCTCCTCCGCCTCCCTGCAGGTCAGCTTGTGCTTCTTCCAGTGCTGCTTCTGGTGCTCCTTGCTGCAGTAGAAGGAGTTCCTGCAGCGGCCGCATTTCAGCAGGTTTTCCATTTTCCCGCACAGCTCGCAGAACTGTCGGTCCCGGTCCGGGTCCGGAGCGCTGCCCGGCTCCTCCATCTCAGACACTACTGATCACTAATCAATAATAACGACAATAATGACGCTAATGATACAGCACAGCAGTGTGCGGCGTGCGGACTCCGCTAGTTTGTGTAGCAGCAGCGCTCCTCCGCACGAAAACTCACACTCAGCTCCTCCGCGGAGCGCGCGGATCTCATCACACGCGGTTATTACGTTTATACATATAATAATTAGGATTAATCTCGGATTAAACCGCGCGGACAGCGCCCATCACTCTCTCTGCGCTGCGTGTTCCTTTTCTTCTTCTCTGGCTGCTGCTGCTCTCACATTCCGCACGTCCACACTGCAAACATACTCCTGACGTCAGCGCCCGGGGCGGGGCTTACCGGGGCCCTGTCCCAAATATGTCCCAAACACTGCCACTCGGTAATGTACTTCCGGGACTTTACAACGGCGCTTCAGTGGCAGCAATGCTAACCAATCAGCTCTCAGTAGCAGTAACGCTAACCAATCAGCTCTCAATAGCAGTAACGATAACCAATCAGCGCTCAGTAGCGGTAACGCTGACCGATCAGCGCTCAGTAGCAGTAACGCCAACCAATCAGCGCTCAGTAGCAGTAACGCCAACCAATCAGCTCTCAGTAGCAGTAACGCTAACCAATCAGCGCTCAGTAGCAGTAATGCTAACCAATCAGCTCTCAGTAGCAGTAATGCTAACCAATCAGCGCTCAGTAGCAGTAGAGCTGACTAATGTTGATCCACATGGCTGCCGGATGTAACACTAGGTAGTGAAGTGCCGGTAGGGAGGGCAGTGTAGGGGGAGGGCAGTGTAGGGGGAGGGCAGTGCAGGGGGAGGGCAGTGTAGGGGGAGGGCGGTAGAGGCGCAAATCGGACGCAGCCACAGTCATCAATGAACGTGCTGACCGGCCCCGCTGAGCGCTGAGAGCCGTTAGCCTGGAGCTCTGAGCGAGTATCTGAATTGCAGGCGCGCTGTAGTTCGGCACTGTCTGATGTCTTGCACGTCTGATTTTTAGATGTTTAAGCGCGAAAAACAAATGAGTTCTTCTGATAACGTTAGATATCCGACTGCTAACGGAACCAGCTGCCTAGCCTGCTAAGCTAAGCCACCCGGCTAACGCCTCAGCTTGTTTATTGGTTTTTAATCAATAATCTGAGACTCTGTTTGATCCCGGGTGTGAAGCGCAGCCGGTTCCTCTCAGAGAGATGAGTAAAAGAGAAGGTAACCCGGGTCCCCGGCCCGCCAGCGCTGCCTTATTCGCCATCTTCCTGTTCGAATTGTCCCGTTCCACCTTAAATGGCGACAGAATGTAACTGCTTCACCATTTAAGGTGGACCGGGGAATTCGATCAAGAAGCTGGCGATGTTTGGCTAACAGAGTTAGCCACAGCCGGAGATGGTGGTTTAAAAAGATTAAGCGGATCATTTAAAGATCGTTTTTTGTTTGTAAACATGTTTATCTTTTATCAGGTAATGGAAGCGGCCGGAAACGGAAGACAGACTCGGTTCAGAAAACAGACGATTCACTGAGCCAGACCTCTCAGGTGATCGCAGCGTTCAGAGGTAAATCAAGTAAAAAATGATGGTTTAGTTTATTCGGATTCTGTCTAATAAGTTACTGAAGGACTCTTCAGTCCGGTGGGGTATCGATACACACGATCACACCCAGTCCATAAAGAACTTTACTGACCTTTCAGCGATGACGGACAGTGACGTGCATCATAAACACCACATCCATGTTTAAATACAAAACATACCGGCAGCATTTGAGTTATTTTTCACAAGCTAAATCACATTAAGGGTTTTTGTCACATCCCAGTGTCAAAAGTCATTACAGTAAATCACTTTACGTGTCAAGATTTACGAATTACATCAAATACATAAAACAAATCTGAATATTTTCAAAGACAGGTCTGGAGATGCCGTGACAGTGAAATGTTTCCTAGTGAATTCTGTGCTTTTGCTTTCTTTTTACCCTCGCTATGCGTTATTTAACCTCTTCAGAAGAAATAAAAACATTTCACATTCATAGTTTTGTTACCCAAATATGATTTATTATTATATAAATACATCAAATGAAATTTATTACAAAATGTATTCAAACAAAAGGCTGTATTTAATATTTTTCCTAATACAGTCTGTGTTTAAAGCATATTTATTAAACTATTCCCATATTTCTCTTGTCCTTTGATGATCAATAATCAAGTAACCAAGAGTCTCTATGCTCTGGAATTAAACACACAGGTGTTTTAGCTAAACAGCTCAGTTTAACTACATTTTATACAGGAAGTCTGTTTACAGCAGTTTAACACATTATGTCTCTGTTTCTCCTGTGAATTTCTGAGTAAACTTAACAAAAATATTAGTTCTCTTTACTGTATAACTCCTTTATGATCAGCTGCGTTTCTATAAATTAGCTTATTTGACTATAATAAGGAACATAACATATAATCAGAGAGATTCAGAGTGGTTTGGTGTGAAATGATTCTGATGTCTTTACAGTGGTGGTGATAGGAACCAGGGGTTGCCATGACTACAACACAGATATAGACATTTTATTTACTATCCAGAACCACCAGTGAACCTACACGAGTCTTCTGAGCTTATATGGAATGTTGATGATGGAAAATAGTGGAAAATCTGAAATAATAAGTTTTCTTTGGGGACTATTTTGCCTCACAGCGCCCTGCATGTATCCCTCCACCATGAATGGAGTTTAAGTTCTCTAAACTATCAAAAAACAGTGTCTCAGTCATCAGGCAGTGAATTCATAACCATTTCATGTAGGAACTTTCTGTGAGGGAGCTTTTAGAGGTGGACGTCTGGTTCCTATCACCACCACTGTGAACAGTTCTGACTCAGTAAGTTTATCTAGAACGGAGTGTTTCATACCAAACCACTCTGAACCTCTCTGAACCGCTCTGAACCAGTCTGTTCACATCTTAAGTATTTATTATGAAGGGCTTTTGAGAACTCTGTTGAATCCCCCTTATAGTGATATAAGTTACTGCAGTATTAAAACTTTCGTATTTATATTTCTGTTGATTTTGTGTGCAATTTATTAATGCTGCCTGCAGTGTTTCAGCAGGAGCTGGACACCAAGCACGACAAATATGAGCGCCTGGTCAAACTTAGCCGAGACATCACGATTGAGAGCAAGAGGACGATATTCCTGCTGCACCGAGTGACGAGGTAAGAAGAGGATAGCTCAGATGTGATATACACACACTTATATGTGTTATACACCGATCAGGCATAACATTCTGACCACCTCCTTGTTTCTACACTCATTGTCCATTTTATCAGCTCCACTTACTATATAGGTGCACTTTGTAGTTCTACAGTTACAGACTGTAGTCCATCTGTTTCTCTGATACTTTGTTAGCCCCCTTTTACCCTGTTCTTCAGTGGTCAGGACCCCCATGGACCCTCACAGAGCAGGTACTATTTGGGTGGTGGGTCATTCTCAGCACTGCAGTAACACTGACATGGTGGTGGTGTGTTAGTGTGTGTTGTGCTGGTCTGAGTGGATCAGACACAGCAGGGCTGCTGGAGATTTAAACACCTCAGTGTCACTGCTGGACTGAGAACAGTCCACCAACCAAAATATCCAGCCAACAGTGTCTTGTGGGCAGCGTCCTGTGACCACTGATGAAGGGCTAGAGGATGACCAACACAAACTGTGCAGCAGCAGATGAGCTATCGTCTCTGACTCTACATCTATGAGGTGGACCGACAAGGTAGGAGTGTCTAATAGAGTGGACAGTGAGTGGACACAGTGTTTAAAACTCCAGCAGCACTGCTGTGTCTGATCCACTTGTATCAGCACAACACACACTAACACACCACCACCACATCAGTGTTGCTGCAGTGCTGAGAATGATCCACCACCCAAATAGTACCTGCTCTGTGAGGGTCCATGGGGGTCCTGACCACTGAAGAACAGGGTAAAAGGGGGCTAACAAAGTATCAGAGAAACAGATGGACTACAGTCTGTAACTGTAGAACTACAAAGTGCACCTATATAGTAAGTGGAGCTGATAAAATGGACAACGAGCGTAGAAACAAGGAGGTGGTCAGAATGTTACGCCTGATCGATGTATATTGATATATATTTCTTACAAATCACTGCGTTGTGTTCGTTGCCATTAACTATGAGTGTGAAAATGCTTTTTAGACTGAAATAAAACCCACAGTTGATAATTTGTGCTGGACTCCACCACAGTGTACCCAACGTGGAGGAGGTGTTGAATGAGGCTGATACCAAACTGGACAGTGTGAGGCAGAAGATCGGTCAGGTAGCTGAGGAGCTGAGAGGAGAAGATCTCCACCAGTTCCACAAAGCCTTCACATCAGGTTAGTCTTCACAAGTACAGCCAGGCAGGACTGGAGAGCCGAATCATCAGAGTGGAACTGGCCTGGAATATCTCCTAATAATGAACCAGTTCAGCAGGAAGCGCCGCAGAACGTCTCATTCACGTGGCATTATTATCACAGCCTGCAGCAGTTAAGCCCCGCCCATTCAGCCCGCAGCAGTTAAGCCCCGCCCATTCAGCCTGCAGCAGTTGGAGCTACAACTAACATCTATGTTTACAATCAGTTAATCTATTGACTGTTTTCTCGGTTGTTTGTCTAATCCAACAATGTCGTCCTGTTTCAGTGAAAAATGCCTTCGATTTCTGAAAGAAGAACTTCACAATGCAAAAGTGAATTAGTTTATATTTATAAAAAAGAAAAACATGAATTAAAATTTTACAAACTTTTCTAAAAAAACCAGATGACCAGATGAATGAATATAGACTTTTCGGTACAGAGCTGATCCACAGTGAACTGAAGGTCTCTGTTTCTGTGTAAGGGGTTCAGGAGTACGTAGAGGCCGTGTCCTTCCACCACTTCATCAGGCATCGCACCCTGATCAGCCTGGAGGAGATCAACGCTCGCCTCGTCTTCGTGAAGGAGGAGAAGATGGAAACAAAGGTACAGTCCTGCCACAAACAGCCACATATAGTCACATACAGCCACAAACAGCCACATATAGTCACATATAGTCACATATAGTCACAAACAGCCACATACGGTCGTATGAGCTGCTGTCCATTTCCAGACCTTTCCTTTCTGCAGAGCTCTTAGCCCAGACTCCCCCGCTCAGCACCTGCTCTTAGAACCGAAGTGGACTTCATATCTGATTATGAGCTTTTGGTCCTCGGAGTGAACAGAACACAGCTTTCACAGAGGCGTCTGGGAACTTTCCTCACTGCGCAACTTGAACGAGATCGAGTGGCTCTGATTGGTTAGCGTTACTGCTACTGAGCGCTGATTGGTTAGAGTTACTTCTACTGAGCGCTGATTGGTGAGGGTGACTGCTACTTAGTGCTGATTGGTTAGCGTTACTTCTACTGAGCGCTGATTGGTTAGCGTTACTTCTACTGAGCGCTGATTGGTTAGCGTTACTTCTACTGAGCGCTGATTGGTTGGCGTTACCGCTACTGAGCGCTGATTGGTGAGGGTGACTGCTACTTAGTGCTGATTAGTTGGTGTTACCGCTACTGAGCGCTGATTGGTTGGCGTTACTGCTACTGAGCGCTGATTGGTTGGCGTTACTGCTACTGAGCGCTGATTGGTTAGCGTTACTTCTACTGAGCGCTGATTGGTGAGGGTGACTGCTACTTAGTGCTGATTGGTTAGCGTTACTTCTACTGAGCGCTGATTGGTTAGCGTTACTTCTACTGAGCGCTGATTGGTTAGCGTTACTTCTACTGAGCGCTGATTGGTTGGCGTTACTGCTACTGAGCGCTGATTGGTGAGGGTGACTGCTACTGAGTATAGATTGGTTGACGTTACTGCTACTGAGCGCTGATTGGTGAGCGTTACTGCTACTGAGCGCTGATTGGTCGGCGTTACTGCCACTCAGAGCTGATTGGTCGGCATTACTGCTACTGAGCGCTGATTGGTGAGCGTTACTGCTACTGAGCGCTGATTGGTCGGCGTTACTGCCACTCAGAGCTGATTGGTTGGCGTTACTGCTACTGAGTGCTGATTGGTGAGCGTTACTGCTACTGAGGGCTGATTGGTCGGCGTTACTGCCACTCAGAGCTGATTGGTCGGCATTACTGCTACTGAGCGCTGATTGGTGAGGGTGACTGCTACTGAGTGCTGATTGGTTGGCGTTACCGCTACTGAGTATAGATTGGTTGGCGTTACTGCTACTGAGCGCTGATTGGTTGGCGTGACCGCTACTGAGTGCTGATTGGTGAGCGTTACTGCTACTGAGTATAGATTGGTTGGCGTTACTGCTACTGAGCGCTGATTGGTTGGCGTTACTGCTACTGAGCGCTGATTGGTTGGCGTTACTGCTACTGAGTATAGATTGGTTGGCGTTACTGCTACTGAGTGCTGATTGGTGAGCGTTACTGCTACTGAGTATAGATTGGTTGGCGTTACTGCTACTGAGCGCTGATTGGTTGGCGTTACCGCTACTGAGCGCTGATTGGTTGGCGTGACCGCTACTGAGTGCTGATTGGTGAGCGTTACTGCTACTGAGTATAGATTGGTTGGCGTTACTGCTACTGAGCGCTGATTGGTTGGCGTTACTGCTACTGAGTATAGATTGGTTGGCGTTACTGCTACTGAGTATAGATTGGTTGGCGTTACTGCTACTGAGCGCTGATTGGTTGGCGTGACCGCTACTGAGTGCTGATTGGTGAGCGTTACTGCTACTGAGTATAGATTGGTTGGCGTTACTGCTACTGAGTGCTGATTGGTTGGCGTTACCGCTACTGAGCGCTGATTGGTTGGCGTGACCGCTACTGAGTGCTGATTGGTGAGCGTTACTGCTACTGAGTATAGATTGGTTGGCGTTACTGCTACTGAGCGCTGATTGGTTGGCGTTACTGCTACTGAGTATAGATTGGTTGGCGTTACTGCTACTGAGTATAGATTGGTTGGCGTTACTGCTACTGAGCGCTGATTGGTTGGCGTGACCGCTACTGAGTGCTGATTGGTGAGCGTTACTGCTACTGAGTATAGATTGGTTGGCGTTACTGCTACTGAGTGCTGATTGGTTGGCGTTACCGCTACTGAGCGCTGATTGGTTGGCGTGACCGCTACTGAGTGCTGATTGGTGAGCGTTACTGCTACTGAGTATAGATTGGTTGGCGTTACTGCTACTGAGCGCTGATTGGTTGGCGTTACCGCTACTGAGCGCTGATTGGTGAGCGTTACTGCTACTGAGCGCTGATTGGTTGGCGTTACTGCTACTGAGCGCTGATTGGTTGGCGTTACCGCTACTGAGCGCTGATTGGTTGGCGTTACCGCTACTGAGTGCTGATTGGTGAGCGTTACTGCTACTGAGTATAGATTGGTTGGCGTTACCGCTACTGAGTGCTGATTGGTGAGCGTTACTGCTACTGAGTATAGATTGGTTGGCGTTACTGCTACTGAGTGCTGATTGGTGAGCGTTACTGCTACTGAGTATAGATTGGTTGGCGTTACCGCTACTGAGCGCTGATTGGTTGCCGTTACCGCTACTGAGCGCTGATTGGTCAACGTGACTGCTACTGAGCGCTGATTGGTCAGCGTGACTGCTACTGAGCGCTGATTGGTTAGCGTTACTGCTACTGGGCGCTGATTGGTTGGCGTTGCTGCTACTGGGCGCTGATTGGTTAGCGTTACTGCTACTGGGCGTTGATTGGTCAGCGTTACTGCCGCTGAGCGCTGATTGGTCAGCGTTACTGCCACTGAGCGCTGATTGGTCAGCGTTACTGCTACCGAGTGCTGCTTATAAAAACTTGCATTTCCCTCTTTCAATCATGTGATGTAAATGCAGCCCAAACATCATCAAAGCAACTAATATATAGCCAACAGTTTATCGTTGACGCTATCAGTAATGTTGATTAGTGTAAATGCTCATTGTTACCCTCCTCTCCTCTCCAGGTAACCGGCGAGGGTTCCTTTCCAGGAGCGTGCGTGCTGACCTTCCAGGTGACTCCCACAGACTACCTTCTGGGCGTGGCTGACCTGACAGGTGAGCTGATGCGGATGTGCATCAGCAGTGTGGGGAACGGAGATATGGACACTCCCTTTGAGCTCAGCAGCTTCCTGCGGGACATCCATGATGGCTTCTCTTACATCGGGAACATGGGTCCGTACGAGGTCTCCAAAAAGCTGCACACCCTCCGGCAGAGCCTCGGCAAGGTGGAGGACGCCTGTTACATGCTGAGAGTGCGAGGCTCGGAGATCCCCAAACACATGCTGGCTGACGTTCTCTCCAGCAGGACGGCGCTGTTGGACCATGATGAGGGAGTGGCGTAGAGGGGTTTAATGTTCTCAGACCTGCATGCTTTGTATGAGTTTGTACTTCACTGTAGTTCAGTTAGAATTTGTGTTTTAAGTCACGCTGTTGAACCTTCAGAGCTCCTTGTTTGCTCCTCTGTGGGTCTTTCTAGCACATCGGTTGAACAAACTGAGAGAAGCAGCATTTTTCTCTTCTGCTCGACTCTCACATCCCGTCTGTTTCAGCGGCGGAAGCAACTCGGTGCCATTTGAAACACTTCGTTTTGATTTGAATGTGATATCAAAGATGTCATTAAAGCCTGTTTAAGTTGTGAATTGGTGTTTTTTTCATTTTGTTATTGATACAGCTTTGTAAACATTGCTGTTAATCCACTTTTAAACAATCAAAGACCCCTTTGCATGATTTAAGGGTTCTTTGCATCATGAAAGCGTTCTTCAGATTGATGGAGAATGTGCTGTAGATGGCTCTATGGAGAACCTTTTTGAAAAGGGTTCTGTATAGCACCAGTCAGCACTCGGTAACAGTGCTGCTAACCAATCAGCACTCAGTAGCAGTAATGCTAACCAATCTGCACTCAGTGTCAGTAACGCTAACCAATCAGCACTCAGTAGCAGTAATGCTAACCAATCAACGCTCAGTAGCAGTAACGCTAACCCCCCAACGCGGACTAGCTCGTGGGCGCCCTCTGCAGTTCAGCAGGCCTGTTTTTGATATAATGGGGGAAACAGGAAGAGGCCAAACTGCATCATTTCAGCATCAACTTTCACACTAACGCTTGGAAAGAGCTTAAACTTGTGCAATCCTGACACCTAGTGGTCGAGAGTAGAACTGCAGAGCAGTTGGATTCACTGAATGAGAAGATCCAAAGATCACTGCAGGTCAAACACACAGTGTAAGAGGTGCTTCTATACTGTGAGCTTCATGTTAATGAGCTGAAGATCACGAGAGCAGAATACGAAGGCTGTTCTTTGGGGACAGCACAAGGCGAGAGAGAGCTAAGCTACTGTATCTAGAACTTATAAGAGTGAATTCTGTTTCAGTGCTGTTTTTAACTTTAACTCAACACTCAGTGCTTCACTCACAGCAGCAGGGAGGGCTTTTCAACAGGAACGCCGTCGCACTGCTGCACTCTCAATAAAGGGTTCTTTAGGAAAAGGAATAGTTTAGAACCATAATTTCCATATAGAACCACTTCATGCTTAAATGGTTCTCTGCATGGTAAAATGGTTCTTCAGAATGACGGAGAATGTGTTGTGTAATGTTCTCTATATTGCAAAAAGGGTTCCATGTCAAGCTTGTGACCCTTTTTGGTGCTCTATAGAATCATTCTCAAAAAGGTTCTATATAGAACACATAAAACACATTCTGCATCAATCTAGAGAACATTTCACCATGCAAAGAACCATTTAAACATGCAAATGGTTCTTTGAGTGTTCTTGGTTCTATATAAAACCATTGTCTTTGTTAAAAGACCCTTGAAGAACCATTTCATACTTAAATGGTTTTGCATAGCACATAAAAAGGTTCAGCTGTTCTTACGATGTCAAGCTTTGAACACTTTTTGGTGCTATATAGAACATTTGTCTTTACTAAAGAACCCTTGAAGAACTGTCTTCAGAGTGTAGGGAAGAAAATAATGGAGACTATAGCACCAACACAGGTTCTTTTATTGTTACGATGTCAAGCTTGTGTAGCAGAACCCTTTTTGGTGCTAAATAGAAGCATTTTCAAAAAGGTTCTATGTAGAACCGCACACAACACATTCTCCATCAATCTGAAGAACCATTTCAACCTGCAGAGAACCATTTAAACATGAAATGGTTCTATATAGAACTCATGGTTCTAAATAGAACCCTTGAAGAGCCATCTTTTTTAAGAGTGTATTGTAGGTCGAGAGCAGCTGTGGCCACACACAGCAGTTCTAATGTAAGACTGTATAAACTCACTGAGCTACAGTTACACTAATCAGCTTCCTTTATATGAGAATATTAAAACACAAAAACGGATCATATTAATGGGAATAATCACAATATCACATACGCAGCTTTCTCACCTGTTACAACGGCTTTCTTCCCTTTCAGTGTGTTACCATAAATATTTTAGAAAGAAATCAGCAATAATGAAAGAAAATGTAGACTATTAATAACTGTTATGGCAATAATACAGTAAAGAAAGAAGTGCTGCAAATGATTCCACGGTTTATTACTGATCAGGAAACATTAATAAGCGGTTATTACACAAAAGGGTAGCTGAAATGACACGCTGAGGACAACGAGACTGCCAGTGAACAAAAAGGCCATGTAGGATCTCATAACAAGATATATGATAATATATGTCTCATAATGATGAGAGCTTTCTCATAATTATGAGATGATAAGTCATAATTATGAGATAGTAAGTCATAATTATGAGATACTATGTCATAAATAAGAGATACTAAGTCATAATCATGAGACAGTAAGTCATAGTTGTGAGATTATAAGTCATAATTATGAGACTGCATGTCGTAAATATGTAATATTATTGGATAGAAAGTCATAATTATAAGATATTACCTCATTGTTATGAGATACAGCTCAGAGTTGTTATTCTTGCTTCACCAAATATCCATAATAGTAAATAGTAAAATTTTCTCATAAAACCTCATAAACCTCACTTGAGTTAACACAGCAATGGTACTAAGCCTAAAGGGGAACTCCACTGATTTTTCTAAAATTTCCCCATAATTCAGTGTGTGAGGTGTAAACAGAGAGATTCAGGGTGGTTTGGTGTGAAATGGTTCTGATGTCTTTACAGTGGTGGTGATAGGAACCAGGGGTTGCCATGACTACAACACAGATATAGACATTTTATTTCCTATCCAGAACCACCAGTGAACCTACACGAGTCTTCTGAGTTTATATGGAATGTTGATGATGGAAAATAGTGGAAAATCTGAAATAATAAGTTTTCTTTGGGGACTATTTTGCCTCACAGCGCCCTGCATGTATCCCTCCACCATGAATGGAGTTTAAGTTCTCAAAACTATCATAAAACAGTGTCTCAGTCATCAGGCAGTGAATTCATAACCATTTCATGTAGGAACTTTCTGTGAGGGAGCTTTTAGAGGTGGACGTCTGGTTCCTATCACCACCACTGTGAACAGTTCTGACTCAGTAAGTTTCTCTAGAACAGACCGTTTCACACCAAACCGCTCTGAACCGCTCTGTTTAACCACTTAATTTTGCAGGAATTTTGTGAAGTCCCCCTTTAAGAGGGGAATGACGAGGCTGAGTGGACGAGGGAGGTTAAAAATGGAATCAGAGACTAGTGACTCTCACAGATTTTACATTAACTCTACTAAAATGACCAGCTGGTTCAGTTTAACCAGTTCACACCAGGCGCAGTTCCTGAGATGGTCAGACAGTTGGTCTGTGAGGATCATCTAGGTAAGAGTCTTAGATCAGGATCTGTGACAGTTTGACCTAATTAGATGTTCAGGAGACGCGGGCTGCGTCCCAAACCACACACTGCTATACTGCCCATGCTACACCAATGAATGCACCGCTGATGGTGATGTAAGGTTTTATATATACTGTTTAGTACAGCAGTACGTGCTTTCGGACGCAGCCCCACCCTGATCACTGAGCCCAGCGCAAAGACTTCTGGGCCTGTTTGTGGTTTTTCAGTGGAATAAGTCAGAAACTGCAAATGTCTGGTTCTATTTAAACGCTTAAAGGGCCTGTATCACGGAAAACCACAACATTCCCGCTGTTCCTGAAATAAGAGTTTGATGTAGTATTTAAACAGAGTTAAAACTTCAAAACGTACCTTTCACTTCCCAGAACACACAGTCCTACAGAAACGAAGCCCATTCTGAATTCATTGTTTTTGTGATGTCACAAAAACCAACAATCACATATATCCACCCATTCACCCTACAGTGGTTTAGCCCCGCCCATTCACACTGGAGTTATAACATGTGCTTTAGCCCATACTGCTTTTTTAAAGAGGTTCCCAATCAGAACAGAGCTCATTTGCATATGTCAGCCTTAAAGAGCCCAAACTGCAGAAACAGTCTGTTTGAATTTACTGTTTTTGTGACATCATGAATACCAGTGTATTTACGTATATCAGCCTACAGCAGTTTAGCCCCGCCTATTCATGCTGAGATTAAATGAGTTTCAGCTCTGACTGCTTTTCGAATGTGGACACAACACAGGGCAGCCAGTCAGAACAGAGCTCATTTGCATATATCAGTCTTAAAGGCGCAGCAGCAGGTATACAGGCAGGCTGGAAAAATGGTGATGTAAAAATGAACTGTGTTTTTGGGACATTAAGCTCTGCAGACCACGCCTCTAGAGCCCCTTCTGTAAACTGAATTACGTGGCAGCTGCCACATAGACAAAAGGTCAGCCATCCTGGTGACCTACACAGTCCAACCCAAGTCGCTGGGGACTTACCTGAGCTGGACGTTGGTTGCCCTCCAGCCGTCTGATGGGTCTCTCCCGGGGCATGTGAGCGTGCCTGGTCATAGTAGAGATATCAGTGAGCCCAAATCGATGAAAGTGACGAGGTATTTGCTGTTTATGCTGCACTTGGCCCAAAATCCGTGGCTGCTGTTGATCCTCCTGGCTGGCTTCCTTTTCCCTGCCAGCTTAGGTTCGTGGCATTGTCCAGCGTGGTGTCCCCTCTTACTGTAGCACCAGCACACCAGGCAGTGCCAGCACTCGCTCAGGGGGCGTTCCTCCACTGCGCAGCACTGTGCTTTGCTCCACCACACTCTAGCTAGATTCCACCGGCCGCTCTCTCAGTGGCCACATGGCACACATGCTCCTCCGACGCCTAATGTTATGCTGACCAGTACAGCTTCTCTCTCACCAGCTTCTCCGCCGTTGAGCCTCATCACTCCATCTCTGCTGTCGAGCCTCACAGCGCTGTCTCCGCTGTCAAGTCTGTCACCAGGCTCTGCCTTCCTCACCTTCCGCCTCGGAGTTCTCACTTCTGACACCAAATGTAGTATCTTGCCGAAGAAGGAGAGGCCATGATTCCTGCTATGAGAAGTGGTCTTTACTCTTTATTAACACGAGCAGAAAAGGCAGATCCAGCTGAGGAAACAGCAGGAAAGGTCTACAGTAAACAAAACCCCACACTAACTCCCCCACCGCCAACTCAGAATAACACAAATAACACACACACGCAACTTTCACCAATGAAAAACAACATAGACGACAAAAACGACAAGCCCCTTAGGTGGAATAATATATCACTCTTTATGTATATTTTCTCTCTCTCTACATATGTATATATGTATATTTAATCAGTAGAACACAGAGGGAGTGTTATCGTGAAATAACATCACGGCTGTGATTTGGTCGCCGTAGATCATCACAGCCGTGATGTTATTGGCGATAGGGCAATAACGTCTCCAGTGCCATCTCTTTGAGCACCGGCTCCCCTCAGGGCTGCGTTCTGAGCCCGCTGCTGTTCACACTGATGACCCACGACTGCTGTGCCAGGTCCACTACCAACCACATTGTGAAGTTCGCAGACGACACGACAGTAGTGGGCCTAATCCAGGACGACAATGACCTGGACTACAGAGAGGAGGTGAACCATCTGGTTGACTGGTGCAAAACCAACAACCTGGTCCTGAATGTCGAGAAAACCAAAGAGATCATCGTCGACTTCAGGAGGACCCAACCCAACCACACACCACTCCTCATCAAGGACACAGCAGTGGAGATAGTCAGCAAAACGAAGTTCCTGGGGGTACAGATAACGGACACTTTGACCTGGTCCACTCACACTGAAGCTCTGGTCAAAAGAGCCCAGCAGCGCATGCACTTCCTGAGATGGATGAAAAGAGCACACCTCCCCCTTCGGATTCTCACCACCTTCTACAGAGGCACTGTAGAGAGCATACTGACCAGTTGCATCACTGTCTGGGCAGGAGCCTGCAGCGCCTCTGACTGGAAGTCTCTGCAGAGAGTGGTAAGGACAGCAGAGAGAATTATTGGGACTTCACTTCCTCCCATACAGGACATTGCGACAAGTCGCTGTCTGACCCCTCCCACCCCCACCATGGACTGTTCTCGCTGCTAGCCTCTGGAAAGAGGTTCCGAAGTCTTCGAAGCAGAACAGCCCGGTTCAAAAACAGCTTCTTCCCACATGCAGTAAGACTGCTGAACTCTAAATAAATGCTGCTTCAATTCTTTGTTTTAATTACTCCATACCTGGGAGCTACAGTGCAATACACCCTCTTGTATATATACTTATTTAAAATTTATATATCTGGTTGACATAAATATGTTTACATATGCGCCACACTCTGCACTACATTGCACTTTGCACTACACTGTATTACTATAATTCTCCCTGATCTACTCTGAGCCTATGCAACGTAATTTCGTTCTAATGTGCACTGTACGGTGTAAATTTTAATGACAATAAAGTCTGTCTAAGTCTAAGTCTAAGATAACACACTCCTCGAGTGTTCTACTGCTTTAATACAGCAGTTAAATAAATACAGTAATAAATTAATAAACTGGGCCGTGAACGCGGCGTTTAATATGTTTTAATGTTCGCAGTTCCTTCACGAAATTATAGTTCCTTAACGAGCAGCTTGTTGCTATGTCAGAGTAATGAGCTCCGCCCACTCGCTGCTCAGTCTGCTGTAAGCCTCACCTTCTGAAGTACAGACTGAGCCATAAAACTGCCACAATATCAAGTTCAGCTCAGTTTTGTCAGTTTTTTCCAGATCAGTATTAATGTTGTTTTGTTCCAGCCAGTCTGTAAAGCATCTTACAGCCCGTTTAGTTTGGCGAATGGTGTTGGGTTCATTTCTGGCTGATTCCAGGTTGTTCAGCTGTTCTTCTGTCTCAGCTGCCGACTGAAAAGCTGCTCAGTGTTGATGACAGTTTGGGAATTTAGTGTCGTCTCATCTTCAGAGTCTGACCAAATCGTCTGTCGGTCAAATGTGACCTTAAAAGTGTCCGTTTTCTGTTTATGGCAAAGTAAGAAGTGAAAACGTTCAAATGTCTTGAGCGTCTCCTACAGCTGTCAAAGTCGTTGCTCAGCAACAGCGTCTCATCGGAGTGATACAGTGTGATAAACCCATCATGTTATGGTGAAATAACAGCACAGTTAGAACACTTCTCAACCAATCAGCTCGCGTGACCGAAACTAACTGTTGTAAATAAATAAATAAATAAATATATATATATATATATATATATATATATATATATATATATATATATATATAATAAACATATTGCGATATAATGATGGGTTTGGGTTGATATCACAGTGTAATAAAGTGATACTTTTATCACAAATCATTTTAGGCCTTTCCATTCATCATTAAATTAACACACAAAAATGAATATGAGGTTTTTGTTCCAACACACACACACACACACACACACACATACACACACACATACACACACACACACACACACACACACACATACATACATACATACACACACATACATACATACATACATATATATATATATATATATATATATATAATGAGTTAATAATCCTAATGGTTTAACAGGTGACCAGTGGCTGATTCTAAACGCATTTGATGGTTTCCTAATGGGATCTAAAGGTGCTAAGCTAATTCTCTTTAGAGAGCAAATGGTTTCTAATGGTCCTTTTCAGCAGGGCTGTAGTTCCAAAGTTACACAAGTCTTATTAAATATGATCTCACATTACACACACACACACGCGCGCGCGCGCGCGCAGTCACGCACTCACGCGCGCGCGCGTGTATGACTCCGTCAGTGCTCTGTGTGCGACTGACCAGCAGGAGGACCTTCATGGAGTCAAGAGTCAAATTCCAGCACACGTCAGAGGAACCGAGGAACTGAGGAACCGAGGAGCACAGCTCAGCTCAGCCTGTCTGTCCGTCCGTCTGTCTGTCTGTCTGTCTGTCAGTCGGCTTAGCGGACACTTTAGTAACTCGGTTTAATGAGCGGACATTTGGCGGATCCGCTGATATTCGGCTCTGTTCGCGGCGCTGCGGCTGGTTCTGGTTCTGCTCTCCGGCTCTGCGGAGGAAACGGCTGTTTAAGGTGGAACCGCCGCTCAACTTCATCTAACGGGCTTCTGTTTCTGAGGAACGGAGCTCTTCATCCGAGGATCTGTGGATATTAGAGATCTGCTGTAATAATAATAATAATAATAATAATAATAATAATAATAGCAGTGAAGCTGCTGGTTCTGATGATGAGAGACTTTTTCAGCCCCGAATAAACTCGGACTGTTGTTCTCCCCGGGTTAAGGATGTTTTCGGGGATGGTGAAGCTCCGTCTGAGGGGTGAAGGTAAGCGCTCGAGCGGATTGATCCACAGATCGATTATCGCCTTAATCATGTGTGTTTTTGACTTTATTAACATCTCCTCAAACCTGCAGCTCCGAACAAAGCCTTTCAGTCCGCACTGCTGCTCATTCGCAGCTTCTTTATTCGAACTATCCGTTCCACCTTAAATGCTGCTGCTGCAGAGTCCGCGTGCGGCCTGCAGAGGGCGCTGATGAGGCGGTTCTCACAGAAATCAGTTCAAATCAAAATAGCTTTATTGGAACTGCAGTCTGAAGACACAGTTACCAAAGAACCTGAACTTCAGAGCTGAACTCTGTAGAGTTAATAACAGTAATAACGATGATAATTACAGTGATATAACAGGAGTAATAACACAGAAATAAAGTAAATGAATAAAATCAGACAGCATGTATTAAATGATAAAAATGAGAATAGACATACACGCTCTTAAAAAGGTGGTTCTTCATGGGTTCTTTAGTAAAGAAAATGGTTCTACATAGAACCATGAACAGTCAAAGAAGTGTTTGCATGCTTAAATGGTTCTTCAGATTAATGGAGAATGTGCTGTATATGGTTCTATATAGAACCTTTTTGTAAAAGGTCCCATATAGCGCCAAAAACGGTTCTTCTGTCGTTTAAAGCTTAACATTGTCACAATAGAAGAACCCTTTTGGGTGCTATATAGAACCCTTTCTAGATTCTATATAGAACCATCTATAGCACGTTCTCCATCAATGTGAAGAACCAATTCACAATGCAAAGAACCATTTATCATGCGAACGGTTCTTTGAGTGTTCATGGTTCTTTATAGAACCATTTTTTTTACTAAAGCAACCTTGAAGAACCATCTTTTTAAGTGTTTAGAACCATATAGAACACATTCTCCATCAATCTGAAGAACCATTTCACCATGCAGAGAACCACTTAAGCATGCAAATAATTCTTTGAGTGTTCTTGGTTCAATACAGAACCACTGTCTTTACTAAAGAACCCTTGAAGAACCATCCTTTTAAAGAGTGTATGGTCTGTTTGTAGGCAGATAGCAGTAAATATGAGTTTTATATTACTCACTGTGGTACATTTTGAGGGCGAAGTTCACTCTGGAACCACAGAATATGATTTTAGGGCTATATTTTCATGGTAAGGTGAGTCTTAGTGGCCCAGTGTGTGTCGTCCTCTTACGCTGTGGTCTGTATGCAGGACAGTCAGGCCTGTTTTATACACGTCATCTTCATACGCAGTGACTGAATGTATATTCATATACCTCAACTGAGTGGGTGCAGATCCTACAGTTATACCCTAAACATAATTAATAATACAGTATTAATGCATTAATATAACTAATATAACTTGTCATGATTTGTTTGTTCAGCAATGCTAAGTTCAGACATCAAACGTTATTATTATAATATATAAAGTGATTATGGCCGTTACATTTTTAAAAAAGGGCGGAGTAAAAAGTAAACACTTTGATCAGTTCAGCAGAACAACAACCAGAAACAGCCCAATCAGTCCAGCTTAACAACAGATACACAGATTTAATGATTAAATCTGGCTCATCAGCGCCCTCTGCAGGCCACACGTAATCCCTGCAGCAGCATTTAAGGTGGACTGGATAATTAGACTCAGAAGCTGTGAATAAGAAGCTAACTTAGAGCACTAATGCTGCTGTGTCTGTTTCTATACAGGTATGAGACACTATGAGCTGGAGAATCAGCAGCAGCCATTAAAGCACTTTAATGCGGCGTTTACATTACAGCCACTGTCTTTTCTTCATGATTTACACTCATTTAAATCCATTAAATCCACATATAATGTACATAAATGTATGCAAAAGTTTGTGCCCCCCCAGCCAAATTGGGTATTGTTGAAAATAATTTACACATCATCTACAGACAAACACTACTGCACACTTTAACACACGGTAACTGCTTATTTACTGAACATATTTAGGGGGAAAGTAAAGCGCACAGTGTGGTCTGTGAAAACGTTTATGGCATATTTTATGTGTTTTTTTCTTATTATTTATAAACTCAGCAGATAAATAGAAACTGCACTAAATCGGCTGAAAAATGGCATATTTAAGTCACATGACTGTGTGTGCGTATATAAGTATTTTGGGGTCTTTGAAAGGCTCTGCACAGTGTCTTATTGTTCTATTAAGCCTGTATTATTTGTGTGAAAAAAAAATAAAACTCGATTAATCATCAAAATAATAGCTAGAATACTCAGTTATCGATACTGACAGCCCAGATCTGTATAATGTTTTGTTTATACCACAGGAATTCAGTGAGGTACATCACACAGAACAAACGTGATCTTTTATTTTACCGTTATTAATGTATTTATCAGCTGGAGCGTCGCTTCATGTGGTTCCACAAATCCAAAAACCAGTGGAGAACCGTGACTATCAGAGCGAGGCCTTCAGGTTGAGACACAAATGTTAAAACTCAGTCAGAAAATGAGTAAAAACACCTGTACAATACAATTCAGTACTACAGTAATGCTAATGTATTCCCCTATTCTAGTAGTATGTTAGTACTAAGCTAATGCTGATTCACATTTTTTGATTGTTCTAGATTAAACACAGACATCAGAAACGTGTAAAAAACATTCCGTGTGTTTTATCTGAACCTTATAATGGACATTACCATATATCTGAGCCTGTGTTTTTTAGTGTTACAGTGACTCTCTCAGTAAAGAGTCCATAGAGCTGCCGCCGCTGTTTTACATTCCTAACAACTAACCTGAACCTGCTTAGACTCATGTTCACAGTCAGGAACGTATCTAGAACCTCCAGAAGGGCTAGAGTGACGTTTTTTCTCACCACCTCCTAGTAAATGAAAGCCTAATTGGCGATTCTGTCACTTCCTAATTATGTTGGTAGTTAATCTAACGTGTAAGGCCTTCAGTCCAGCTTCTGAAGTCCTAACCAATGAGAGAGCAGCTCAGCTGTAGAACCATCCTCATTGGATCATTTGCATCAGGCGTTTTAAGATTTTAACCCTTTTGTTTCCAACGAGAATTTAAGAATGAAATAAGAGTTTTGCTACAATACTTACAGAGTTTAAATACAACACGCATGATTATTAATTTAAATAAACACACTAAAAATTACAGACATGCCTTTTTTATTTTACAGTAATCATTAGGCATTCACTGAAGATCTAGAACGCTCTGAGGGTTCCTCTCTGATAAAATGGCGGTTCAGTCCGTCCAGCCCAGAGCCTGTTCAGTCCTAATGAGGGATAAAGTCGTTTTAAGATCGCTGAGGCTTTAATTACTCATTATAAACTCAATCAGCATTTAAAACCGTTTCCCAGAACAGCTGTGTGTGTTATTTTTAGCGCATTTCTGTCTCCCTGATGACACGGCAGGAAGTGCGCTTTGGTCTTTGCAACAATTAAAGCGGAAGGATTTGCGGAGCCAGACTGAGAGAGTTTTCTCTTCTACAAAGTTATATTTACAACAAAGTGAACGAGCAGCAACACAAATCTGAGAGTTGAAAGGAAACTGAACACTGAGATCACAGATTGTTTTAAAAATAGTTTGTATTTGATGAAGAGAAGGATGATTATCGGGTATTCCAGAATTTTAACATGGCAACTCTGTAGAGTCATTATGGTGTGTGTGTGTGTGTGTGTGTGTGTGTGTGTGGAGGGGGGAAGGGGGTCTTTTGCTTAACCTTTTATGGGCCAAAGATCAATCCAAACTCACTCGCTAGCACTTAGAGTAGTTAGGATCTCAAAACTACTGAAAAAAAAATCTTATTATTATAATTATTCATTCATTCATTCATCATCTAAGCTGCTTAAGTATGATGGTTTTGAGACGGTTGCTAACTCTGAAGTGAGACAGTTTTGAGATGGTTCCTAACTCTGAAGCAAGGCGGTTTTGAGACAGTTCCTAACTCTGAAGCGAGGCGGTTTAAAGATGGTTCCTAACTCTGAAGCGAGGCGGTTTTGAGACAGTTCCTAACTCTGAAGCGAGGCGGTTTAGAGACAGTTCCTAACTCTGAAGTGAGACAGTTTAGAGACAGTTCCTAACTCTGAAGTGAGACAGTTTTGAGAAAGTTCCTAACTGAAGCAAGGTGGTTTTGAGACGGTTCCTAACTCTGAAGTGAGACGTTTTTTTTTAGACGGTTCCCAACTCTGAAGTGAGACGTTTTTGAGACGGTTCCTAACTCTGGAGCGAGGCAGTTTTGAGACGGTTCCTAACTCTGAAGCAAGGTGGTTGTGAGACGGTTCCTAACTCTGAAGCAAGGTGGTTGTGAGACGGTTCCTAACACTGAAGTGAGACCTTTTTGAAACAGTTCCTAACTCTGAAGTGAGACGTTTTTGAGACAGTTCCTAACTCTGGAGCGAGGCAGTTTTGAGACAGTTCCTAACTCTGAAGCGAGGCAGTTTTGAGACAGTTCCTAACTCTGAAGTGAGACGTTTTTGAGACAGTTCCTAACTCTGGAGCGAGGCAGTTTTGAGACAGTTCCTAACTCTGAAGCGAGGCGGTTTAGAGACAGTTCCTAACTCTGAAGCGAGGCGGTTTAGAGACAGTTCCTAACTCTGAAGCGAGGCGGTTTATCTCAGTGCGCCTGTGCGGGCGCTGAGAGCTGAGTGTGTTGTGTCTGGTGTCAGTTCTGACTCTTTGGTCTCAGTCTGCTCTAAAATGTTCAGTGCAGCTCTGAACACGTTCAACCAGCTCAGCTCCACAGAGCCGCCTCACCTGTACCTCACCTTATAGTACCTGTGGTGGAAAATCACATCACTAACATGACTAACAGTTCAGTTATGATCACATGTGGGAATATTAGTCTTACTTTGTTTTACATTAAAGAAATCAGTAAATGACTGTTAAGATTTTAAACTGGCAGTAAATGAGTTTTTACCCTCACGGGGGCGCTGTTACCGTGGTGGCTTGGTTGACCGTCACCAGGTACAGGACAGTGCATGGACACTGTTAAACATCCTCAGGGGCTCACATTACTCACACTTTCCCCATAGCCACTC